GATCCCTGTGTGCTCTTACTACTGTCCTATGTGCGATGCAACATCGACATTTCCCCACTGTGGGACGAATAAAGGAATTCTTATCTTATCTATTCGATTGAATAGTTTATCACTTCTAGAATCTGTAATTTGCACAATATGATATACACATATCTGACTTTAAAAGCTTATAACACATTCTGCCGGTAAATTTCAACCGATTAAACCTAACACAAAAAATCTTTTCATGTTCTGTTTTAATTAATATTATAATCACATATTTTGGTACTGTTTCCCTCAAATTACTTGCATAATTATAATGTATTGAGTTTCAAAAACCATGATGCCATAGCTATTTTTGATTATTATCAAAGGCACACATGTAATTTTATCTCCACCATAGACCCCCTGCCCTGCCATATAATTTACTATTTCATTCATGCAGATGTTTACGTACTGATCTCTTTTGTTTAGACTTATACTTATTCTAATATGAGTATTCATTTAGCATAGCAAATAAAGATTCGACAATATTCTCAATCTCAGACACAAGAGACAAAAAAAATCAGTGATGCATTCCTCATTCTAAGTCATCCTTACCACAGCCGGCTGCATGGGTTTTACACATATTTCCGAGCTACATCTGGTTTGATCTTATTTTAGTTTGCTTTGAAAATGAACATGCAGAGACTTGAATAGTCTGTGCTTCAGTCATTGAAAATACCTTTTTATTCCAAGATGTAACATTTGTTCTATGTTGCTCATGCACCATTTTAAACTTCCAGGCTGGTGACTGAAGGTCCAATTCGGCTCCATGCTGAGATAAAAAGGGACGACGCCACATCAGAAATGAACAGTTGCACGATCGTCACTTTTTGAATCACATGCCATAAAGTCTATTTAGAGTCTATTTGATGTAAATTGTTTTTGATCTCAACAGTAAACAGAATTAAGCATTTTTTTCCTGTCTTTTGAGTTGGATGTAGGACATGGGAAGCCAGCCAGGGAAGACATCAAAAGTGTGTTGCATGAGGAGGCCCTGATCTTAACAGGCTGGTAAAATGTGCAGCTTTGAAATCTTTCGTAAACAAACGCACACACTTAACCTTTTAAACAAGTTATACATTGTAAGCCTTATTCCCACACGTTTTATAACTTCTGGAATGAGTCAGATGTATGCCTACTTTAGATTAAAGCTGGGGCACCCAACTTTCAAACCACAAAACATGTAACAATGTATAACGTTCAATAATTAGTTTTCTCATGCATGTATTTTTGGTCTCTGTAACATCTTTTAGATCAGGAATAACATTTAAAAAGAGGATCGCCTTCACTTCACCTTTTGGCCCAAAGCATCAAAAAAGTGACTCACAGGGCTCATTTTTGGAAAGATATGTTTTCTAATGGAGTGGAGACGTGTGGTCCGATTTGTTCACAACCGGTTAGGACAAACATATGAAAAAATATTGGTACCCCAGCTTTAGTATGCTACTAATGAATGAATAAGAGTCATTCACATGCATTTCAACCCAGGAAATTATGTTGTATTTGACTTTTATGTTGATAAATTGGTGACCCTAAACAGACGTTGAAAAGCAGGATATATCATTGAAGGCTGTGCAGTACAAATGCAAACTCCACTCTTTGGTTTCTACACAAGTTTGATTCATTGAGCAGAGTCCACCGACCTCCATCAGGAAATACAATCTGATGACGGCTGAAGGTCAGAAGGAGCTATTCCCACAGCTCTGGTCCAAACGTATTAATGACTTACACAGATAAACTGCGCTGGGCCTAGTGATGGATTGTGTCATTAAAGGCCTGATACCTGGTGAGAATGAGAGGGAAAAAAGTAACAACTTACTTATACTTTCTATTATCAACATCTGTTACAGTTAACGTTTGCTTTTCTGTTTTGTCCTGTCGATTTATCCAGTGGTTTTCAAACTTTTCACATACATATACCATCGTAGTAATGGTAAGTTTCCCAAGTAGCCACATAGTAAAATCCAATCTAAACAAGACTTTTCTGTCCTTAAATGAGAGCAGATCTATAGTAGATTGCTCCTAGATTCTATAATAAAGTAGTTGCAAATGAGGATTAGTACAAAAAAGGACAGAATGTGCAATAAAATGGGACTAAGTTGAGCAATTATGGAGCTGGGAAGTGCACTCCCACTTTCTTGTTCCACAAATAAAAAAATACAATTTACATAACATTTGAGGAAAGTAATCTGACATTGAAATCCAAAACAACTGTTTGGATACATTGATTTTCTTTTCCTGAAATGAGACCCGAGGACACAAATATACACATTTACAACTTACCAGAAAACTGTAACCTTCAAATTGAGTCATACCACTTTTTTATTGTAAAAATGAACCAGTTCCATTAGCTGCGTAGGTTTTGTTTGAGTAAGATCAAGATATTAAAAGGAAGACGCCACAAATCTTTTTGTTCAAACACTGTATTTTCCATCTCCACATAACCAACAAAAGGACATTTTTAGAGTTTAGAATGTTTTATTATATTTCATTGTGATAGCATTTTCAGCATGTTTTTTTGTTTTTTAAAGTTTTATTTTTCCCAAATAACAAACACAGCAAATAACGTTGAAGGGGGAGGTAGGGGCAGGAAGTAGAGGAGAGGAGGGCCACAAAGATTAGATTAATCCATCGATGGTTAAATATAAATGCGTTTGGCTAGTTCCTCCCCCGTTCACCCCTTAATATCCACGCATACGCGCACACACAATCACACTACATGTCGCTTTACAAAGAATAACCGTTAATCAAAAACTGAATATATATAGTCAAGAAAATAATGTAATAGAAACAGCCGACAAAACATGGCAAGTTTTAACACAGTTTTGTGTAACCCTGCATTGAACGCTGTTTAGCATCAGGGGGCACAGTAAAACACCACCAAAAAGCTTTAATATATACTTTTTTATGTTGCGTGTACGCGGGCTACATGTGTGTGCGAGCATGGAGAGGACAGGAGTAATGCATGTTGATCTTGTAAATGCCCCAAATGAAGAGTGTCTATCAAAGTATTCCTCTATGGCTAAATATTAGGCTATGCTCAGACTATAATCCGAATATTTGATCAGATTTGGTTATTCATTGCAATGCGCCTGTGTTTTCTAGCCATAATCATAAGTTCTGAGCCTAGCCCAAGCTGTGTCTAAATGAAATGCCAACTAGCTAGATAGTGGTGAAGACCTATTTGCATAAAGGTAGAATGAATACATTTAATTTAGCAGCTGTCCAAATCTCTCTCCGGTGCAGAGTTAAGGCAGACAGCTGATTCTGCTTGAGTCCAATTTTTGTGGGACGATACCAAGAATAATTTTTCCTCCAACAAAATACAGGTAAACATCATTTGGCATTAAACTTGATGAGAGATAAATGAAGGGGTGAGGAGGTGAGGAGCAGGTGTGAAACTTAAAGATACACCATATTTCTGGTGGAGAGTCAGCCATCAACACGTCTACATAGAGCTTTTATTATTTTACCTAAAATGGGATTTTAATGGGGCGGGCAAACCATGTTGTTACCAAAGTCAGATTTGTGGAGAGGCAACACATCAAGTTATATTTAATCCATTCAACTTAAGCGTGTATATACACATGTAAAATCCACTGCAAGTAAGCAGTATATTTATTTAAGTCAAGATTTCTTTTGTATAACACTATAGATGAAGACTACTACACTAGTTTCACACTGTGTGCCATGGCAAAGAAATATAGTCTATGAGACATGCAAATAGTACCTCTCCATCAGAAAAGTTCCGCAGTGCATCAACAATAAATGGTGATTAATACATACATAGAAGCGAAAACAAAAAATGCCAATATGAATCAAGCACTAGACAGAATACATCTTATCGCGGTCGGCTAATTTGGGGTGGAATTCAAGCTTTTAAAATGGATAAGTCTTTAAATTTGTAGTTGAACCTCACCAGTTACTTTCAATGCCTAAATAGGGCCGAGTTAACAGCTTCAAAACATTTAAAAAAAATCCTAATTTCACATTGGACATTTGGGCTGTCAACAAGCTGTTTCGAGGCGTACTTTCCCAGTTCTAGTGAGGACATGGAAACAAGCTAGACTTCATCAAAAATCTACATGAAAATCAAGAGCCATATATACACAGAAATGCACCTGATAAATATAGTTATCAAAAAGAAAATCTCTTAATTTCCTCATCTTTACTTCATGTTGGCCACCACTGCTTTCAACACCGCCCCTAACCACTTCCAAGAAACATCCATTCTCCAAACAGTTTGGTCATTTATTCTCTTAAAACACTTTTTGTAAGCCACAACCAGTTTATATAGTGTTCTTTAAATACAAAACATAACCATGACAATAATCATAAAGGGGTAGGGGACAAAGTAGCCTCACATTGTTGGTTACTCATTCCAAAGCCTTTAGATAAAACTGACATCTCTCAAAATACCTACACATGCACACAGGCACAGCATGTAAAATGGACAAGTTGGAGCTCGCCTTGCTATCAACACGGCCGCGTCACTTCTTTTAAAACGAATAGACACAACACAGCGCTGCGGTTTTAATTCAGTACAGTCAGACTTGTCTCTTACACTGGAAAAGCCACTGAAATTTGAAAACTATGGATTAATAATGATAATAATGCCTTAACATCTCCAGCAACAAGCAAAAACTGCAGCATTTTAATACAGGTTAAAATCTAGATTTGATTAAAACTGTGGATGATTAATTTTTGGAGGTGACTTTGTCCTTGTTAAGACTACATTATGTTACGCTGACTGGGTCGCAAAGACAACAAAAATATACAAGGAAATAGGAACAAAGATGGGATGAGAGAAGTCAATGGACAAACTGTTAGTGAGCCTGGACAGTCCTGTAGAAACGTAAGGGAGGGTTGGGACAGGGTGCTGGATGGTCAGGGAGGATAGAGGAGCAGAGGAGTATCCCCAGTACGAGAGAGGGGTCTTGGGTCAGTCGAGAGAAAGCGGTGGTGGTCAGGGGTCTTCAACAGCAGCCGCCGGCAGCGTGTTGGCCTCCCTGGCCACCGGACAGTGTGGAGCTGGGGGTAGGGTGCTGGGGTCCAATCTTAATACCGTTAGCCTGTAAAACAAAAAAACATATGGAAAAATGCATTTAGTTTATACAGTCAATATTGCACTTTAAGGTGTATTGTTGCGATACTAAAATAACACACACTGTTCCAAAACTAAGAAATAGACTCAATACTAATATATTTCTTCTTCTTTATCACCGTGTTATGAAAATGTAGTGCATAGTTATAGTGTGAATACAAGTATCAATACATTAGTAGTGTTCAAGCAAACTATGTGTTAAAAGGTGTATAGAATTTTTCAAAATGTTCCAAAAAGAATCGCCAGAATGATTGACAATTAGGAGGACCAATAGTCCTGATGAGCCACCCAGAAATAGAAAATCTTATATACCTTTAAGTTAAAACCGTTTATAAACTCTACTAATCATCCAGCCACCCATTTTATTCAGCTTTTTTTGGTCTTCCCCAACACTTCCCACTTTCTCCAGCTCACGCAGTGAATCCCATGGTGCTCCCAGGGTCGACCTCTGGGTCTCCTCCTGGTGGGACATGAACAGAACACCTCTCCAGGGAAGCATCCAAGACGACACTTCAGCCGGCTCCTTTAGACATCTATCTCTATATCTTTATGTTTCCAGGTTAGGTACTTGTGAATCCACCCTTTTCTCATGCTTCTTGTAACAAATACAGCAATGAATCAATGTCAAGACTGACTGACATAAAGGAAACAGCTGTTAAATAATATTGAAAGTCTTCTAGTTTAAACTGTTTTGCCACATTGTTGGTGAAAAGCAGGAACACAACAGCAGCTCAAGATCAAACCTTACTGTAACCAAGGCTGAGTCGAAATAGTGGACTTCCTCGTTTTGTTTGTTTAATCAGGTGTCATAAAGTGGCTAATGTGAAGTCTAGTGTAAATACAGGCTGTTCAACTGGTTATACCGGCTACAGATCATAAACAGTGTTTATAGTGTTGGGCGACAGTGGAGGAAAGGCCAACTTGACCCAAGGAACAAGACACTAGTTATTGAGGAGTTGTTATTGACCAAGAAAGAAAAGGCAACTTATAATATATATAACAAAGTATATGTTTCAAGCTCAAACACACTTTGTTTTATGAAGGAGATCTTTTTGCTCAGGCTGATGTTTTCTGATGCCCTCAAACTCAAAACATATGATTCAGACGTCATCGACTGTGTACAGTAAACACACTCATAAAAGACATTTCTCGACTAAATATAAGCAGCAGCCAAATGTTCAATATGACTACTAACAATGTCAAAGCAATATGCATTTGAGGTGAGATTAACAAGGACATGTATTTATATAAGCAAACATCGTACAGTGGGCGACAATACTTTGGTAGACGCATCGTCATATGGGAATTTAATAAAGGAACTTAAAACATTTCAACATTAAAACTTTGATATATGTTATTGCAAGACCATATCATAATGTATAGTGATCTGCAATGTTTTACAATTGGAAGCCAGATATCCCAATGTACAGACCAGAGACTAAAAACAACCTAGTCTGTATTTGGTTTTAAAATGTAGGCTTATTTCATACAGTAAACTTAAAAACTCAATATTGTATCAAATAGGATCCGTTCTGAGGCTTGTGTTAAAACAGTAACAGTTGGATAACAATGATAAAGAATCTAATATTAAAGAAAATAACGAAGCTATTGTGACGGCTCCTAGACATTTCTGTTGCCATTCATGTTTTCGCTCCATAACAACCTTTGAAGAAGTAAACACAAACTATGACCCTGAGAGAGGGGGGAAAAAAAAGAAGACATTTCCGATATTTGTGTTCCATTATTCCCCATTATACATCTCTAATTGTTTCTTTACAGTGGCCTCCCTTTGCCGCTTCCTTGAAAAGCACTGTTATGATTACTGCACAGTGGAAAAACAAAGCGCAGAATAAGTGTGTCATTGCTTTCATGGCGGGATTAGCTTTAGCCGTGCGCATGCTGCCTGCGGGGGCTCCTTCATTAGATCACATCAGAGGGGACGCAACAGGTGCCGGCGCACAAAGGCAGAGGAAACACCGCTGCACTCAAGGACACGAGCGATTGTAAAAGAAAAGACGAGAAGGAAGAGAGAAAGGGGGACAGGTGGGCGGCGGGGCAGACGTGGCCCTTTCAAGTCTCTCAGAGTATACCATCAGACACCTCCTCCCACATGCAACATCTCTGTAGGAGCGCACTTCACCGGTTTGAGTTCATGACATTAGGGCTGCTCAAAATGGCAAAATATGATTATAATGGCAATTATTATAAACCATTTCATATTCTGTCAATATTAACCAGTAGCGATGAGGTACACACTTTTCCATACTATAGCTTTGTTTCATGCCTGGTCGTTTCAAAATGTTCATCCAATTCAGCTTTGGTACACTACATTACCTCTTGGGACGTTTGAACTACTTAAAGATCAATAAAAGAAAAACATCCTGGTTAGATCGCAATTCATTGTAATATAAACTTCACAGCCCCAAAGGGGGACTTGAGGCTCAGACCTAAGTCCCCTATTCATAGAGACATGTGACTCTATGGTGCACACCGGGGTAGTCTTGCACAGTTTTTCCAATGTGGTTTTACTGCAAATGGAAAATAAATGAATCTGAATCTGACTCAAATTGAACTCATGATATCAGACTTGTGAGCATTACGAGTCATATAGTCTCGTTCTTAATCACCGTCGAGTCAATTTTCTCACTCTCCTCATTTTTATGATGCCAAGCAGGTGGCATACACTGCAAACCACTTCAGGCGTTTCATTATGGCATTTCCTAAAATTATGTGTAACTTTTATATTTTCACAATGACGTCTAAATGATAATGAGTCACCTAAACAATTGAACCGATTAATCATGCGGCTAGACAACTCGCAGAAGCAGTAGCACCACTGGGAAACTCTGAATGCTTTAAATCACATTTATTGAGACCAGGCCCGCGTGCGAGAGAGACTTTTCTCAGACTGTCTGCCAACATTTCTGGAGGGGTTTCCCTTCGCCTCGTAGCCCAGTCAGCTGATGTGGTTTGGCGGGCCGGCCTGTCTGCGCTCTGCCTCACTGTTGCTAATAACAAAAACATGGACCAATGGAACCCAGGCTCACACATGTGCTGCTGTGTGAAGGGAGAGGGCTGTGGTCAAGATCCACAACAATCCCAAACTAGCATCACCATAAGGAAACCTATCAAAAACAGGTTTCTTATTTAATGTATAATGGACGAAAACTATAGAAACATAAGGCAGTCAGAGCGTTTGCATACAAATGCCTTGTCAAATGTAAATTGATGGTACAAATAGATGAAAACCATTGAGTTGCAGATTGACGCTACTTGTAAGCACTGTTCGGGAATGTGTGGCTTATTCAGTCTGGTTGTGTAAAGTTTCTACTACATAATTATAATAAACTGAACAGAGTTTAATCTGCAAGTCAAAACGTCTTGATAACAACTGTTAATAGAAGTACTAAACCAGATCATTACCAGGAGCAGCAGAATACGACTGCTGAGAAGTGTTTTGTCTCCAAATAATAAGCCAGTTGCAAAGTCATTGTTGGATTGCAGTGCAACGAGATGAATGTCCTCTTGTATTTGTCCTTTTCAGCACTTTGGAAGTGGCACTGCTCCAGCTTTACGTTCACAAAGAGACACTCGATCCACGACCCTTTGCTCACCTCTGCACAGCTGACCAATCTGAGTTTAGTGTCAGTATCAGATCGTTGATTTGGAAACTGGAGGATGAGGCTCCCCCCCTTCTCCTTTAATCAAACATCAAACTGTGGAGGAGGGGTCCATGTCATTTGAGCCTCTTTGTCAGGGCTTCCACAACATTCAACAAAGAGCCGGTTTTATCAAGCTTTTTGTGACTTCCATTTTGGGAAAGCAGGAAGTTCCCAAATGGATTTATTTTCATTCCATTACGCTTTAGTAGATGGTTGGGTGCTACAATGCTTGTTCAATTACTTGTTGCATTTGATTTCCACGACAAAATATTTCTTTAAAGTTTCCCACCAAACACGAAGAAACAAAAGTTTTGTGATCATTGCAAGGTTAATCAATTTAGTCTTGAACTGGCGTCAGAACAGTCATAAAAAGGTGCTTGACAAAATTATTTCAACATCTTCCCTTTGGCATGTTGTCTCCAGGTGTTTTTAAGCTTTTTTCCCCTCCAACCCTTTATCCTCTTGCTTGAACTTTTCTCTTTTTCCTTCAAGTTTTATGGAGAATGTACTTTGTTTTCTGACAAAATTTAATTCAAAAACCAAATGTAATACACACCGATTGAACAAATATCTCTTGACTCAACAAAACTACAAATGCAGTTTTGCCTGAGCCATGTTGACTGTTCGGTCTTCAGTATGTGCGTGTACCAAGCTACAACACATCATATGAAAGAGGCTTGTCAGTTAATAAGGCAGGGGGCCATTTCGAGGGGAAAAGGAGCTACAGCGTAGAAAAGCCTCCAAGCCTTTTTCTATGGCCTATGAGAGGACACAGCCCAACTGCACTTATGATTGGCCGCTCGACGCTCTGGACAGTGGACATTCCTGGCTGGCTGTTCCAGTGGAGATAGGCATCTGGCTAAAGCAGCAGAGAGGAGCTTACGGACGGACTCGCCGTTTGTTTTCTTGCCGAATGACTGAGACCTTGTGGGATGTGAGGAATTTATGAGTTGGCAAAATGCCGAGAGAGAGACAGGCAGCTGAGGCCCAGGGTGGAAAAATAGAGCATGGAGATGAGAGTTTTGCTTGGCTACAGTCGAAGGAAGTAGTGAGCAGGAGTTTTTTTCAGTCTTTTTGAAGCTAGTGGGAGCGTGGCAAACCACACACAAGGCTGAAAAACCACAGACAGGAGGTGCAGGAACCAAGATGGAACGATTTGGAAAAAGAAAAGAGAAGTGTGCAAGGGGCTGAGTGTAGTCTCACCTCATTGTTGATATCAAACACTCCCTCTTGGATCTTCTCGTAAATCTCCTTGGCTGTGTTGATGAAAGCCTGGGGAGTCAGAAATGAGAAGGGTTACGAAATGAGCATTTTTTAACTGTGTTGTGTATATCCATCATCTACTCAAATATAGAAGTCACAACAGCAAGTCAAGTCATACTAAGATATCTTTACTTTTGTAAAAAAAAATATTTGTAGTTTATTTGGTTCGGACAGTGCATGTTAATGAGCTCTCTGGATTGTAGCCAGGCTGAATTGCATCAGTTGTCCCACAGTCACACTCACAAACCCTGAACTATTTTACATGTTTTAGTGGTAGAGGAAACCTACACAGACACAGGGAGAACATGCAAACGCCACACAGAAAGGCCTGGAGATGGAATCCAACCCAATGGGGATCAATAGCAACCAACCAGCCATCCATGAAATGTATGTCAAAGTCCTATTTCTTCATGTTGATTTTAGGCCTATTTAGCCATAAATGATAGAAGGCCTAAACATCGACAATAGGCTTATAAATACTTTCTGCCAGCACTGGATGCATAATTCTATATCAAAGCCAGTATTTTTCATGTCTTCTATCTCCACTCACTCCTCTGTTGCACATAGAGCCGAGACGAGGATCAAGCCTGTTAGCATAAAGTGGAATTAAGCTCCCTCTGCGTCAGGCTACACCGCACTACTGAAGCGTTTTCCTCTCGGGACGGGGAGATCGCGGTGGTGTCTCTGGGGCCTAAACTGAAGAACAAATGGGACAAACTGTTCATGTAAACTGCCTCTGTGCTAACCTGCCTATCTGAACCAGCGAGCGTGGAGTAAAACAAATTACTATCTGAACTTGTACCTGGCACTTGTCGGAAATAGACAGGAGCCCAGGGGTTCTGCTCTCGTCCTACGTCCTGTCCCGCTTTCATCCAGCTCTTTTCTATTAATGCACCGCTACTGTACAAGCCGGGAGTATAATTTAATATCCTCCCACACGTTACCTCATTTACAAAGATCAGGAAAAAAACAGGCTCTTTCTAGAGTTATCATACGGGTTTTGACTTTGACCTGGATTTACTTTGATTCACTACTAGACAGAAACATAACTAAGATATCCTGACTGTAGATAAATAAGTAAACAAACAAAAACATGCAAACGTTAAGCTGTGAAAATAATGCAAGAGCTTCCTTCTAGTGTGCTAACTAGCCTTCCTGTTTTGTGGCCAATAAAAAAATGCTTTATTTGAACGCAGATTTAGGAACTGCTTACACCACCCTGGCAGACAATCTTTTTTAAAAATTCTACCAGCACTTGTGTAGTGGCGAATCACGTATCCAAATAGCATATGGAGTTCTTTTAAACCTTAAGAGAAAGTTGCATTTTTGTTATAAATCCATATATAGCATATTGCAGAGCTGGGAAGCCAGTCGGGTACACTGTATCAGATTGCCATGTTGCCATGTTCCAGATCAAGATAGGATTGTTTTTCCAGCCTGGTAGTGGCCCCACAAATTGCATTGGTGCCTTCCTTAACCTCGTATTGATAGATCCACAGAAAACATGCCAAATGCCAATTCAATGTCTGAAAACAACAGGAAATCTTAAAAGGTGCAGCATTGTTATTTTTTCAGAGTTTCTTTTTACTTAATTATGGGGAAAATAGACATCATCAACAACATTAACGCCAGTATTTTAACTAATGCCTAACAGTAATACAATGGTGTATTTAGAAGGAGAGGCACACTTTTAGAAACATAAATGAAGACTTTGCACTGGAGAGGCCAATTGAAAGGACATATCAGGATATATCTATTGCCTTAAACATTATCATAAGGCACGCCCAGACAGCACCAGGTCAGGACAGTGTGGTGGAGTTTGAGCGTCCATCGCACCATCCTGGTAAACCGTATTATCAAACTGGAGGGCAGTGGACTGATATTATGATAATTATTTGAGGACATATGAACACAAGCACTGAACAAAAGATGGATCCCTTTTGGACAGCGTGGACTACACCATTATTGCAGGGATTGAGTGTTGACTGCACTGGACTTTCGACATTTGGGTGGATTCAGCTTGTTCCAGTGCAAAGGTAAAGCCATTTGCAACTTCCAGCAAAAAGATATGCGAGGGAATGTTGTTCATGAAAATCAGTATATGAACAAAGTTGAGGAAAGGCACCATTTACTGTTACTGATAATACCTTAATATTTGTGATAATTGTGAAGTCCTGGAGGATCTGATCAAGTCCCATGTCCTCTGGGGGTGTGTGGTTGTCCCTCCCCAAAAAAGGACCAACTCTTCTTATGTGAATGCAACCGTTCCAAGCTGGTCCCACCCAGCTGGGTCCCATTATAAAGTGCCTAATAGAACCAATATCTGATCAAACAAAGCTTCCTGGATTATTACAGATATTTGATACTAGAATCAGAATTAGTGCATCCCGTTTAGTTATCAATAAAAAACTTAAACATAGTCACAGCATTAGACTCCAGTCTCAGTCAGGCGATCTTTGCTTGGTCCAGGTTTGAATATATGGCCTTCCATAAAAATAAACTTTGGCCACCACTGGTCTATACAGCTAGTCAACAAAGTTAATACTTTCTGGAAACTCTGGAAATATAAGGTCGCTATTCAGTTATGAAAAGCAAAAATGCAACATTTTCCAAAGGCAGAGTTTGTACATGAGGGATCAATTAGTCACCATACAAAAACGAGCCCACATGCACAAACGGTACCAGATTTCAATTACTGTAGCTTTAAAACATTAATTGAGCAAGTAATAAAAGAGCTTTTCAGCCCATTGTTCAGTGACATCTGACCTTTACGAACAGAGTTCTGTACAAAATGACTGAGGTGGAGAGGGTTGCATTTTTGCCGTAAATGACTACACTTAAAAATCCTAATGGTTGTTTCATTTCAAATGGTCATTACGATAAAATGCCAAAAAAACATTTCATCATCCCTGCAGTGTCAGTGCTAACAGCTAACCGAAGCAAAGTTCACCGTCAAATCCGTAAAACTAAAAACATATGGGAAAATTGGACACAGCAATTAAAGCCCCCCAAAAAATCAAAACGTCAGAGAAATGGGGGCAAAGGAAAAGGTTACAAGTGGAAAAAGATGGCTGGGTACAGTAAAGGACGCGAGGTGCTTACAGGAATCTCTCAGTATCTGTCTCTCTAAGGAGCATCCCATCAACTGCGGTGTCCACCCACGAACCCTGACGACAAACCCCTGCCTTTGATTGGCTGTCGTGTGTCGCTAAGGGAGAGGCGGACCCGGAGCTTATGAATATGTATGAGCTATAACTGGTTGATATACTGCAAATGAGCGCGGGGGGTTGATGGTATAGAAATGAATGGAGGGCACTGCGCTGCTGAGATGGGGAGGGGGGGATGGTGAAATGGAGTGAGCGGGGGAGGTGGCTGGAGGATGGGTGGGTGGTAAGGAGCGAATGATGGACAGGGAGGCAGGCATGAAGGCAGCGGCGGTATCAGGAGGCTTCAGAGGACACTAATGAGACAAATTAATCATAGCGCGCGCACACACACCTCCCCCTCATCTTAACCCCTGGGAGAGAGAGAGAGAGAAAAGAGGAGAAGGGAGGGTGGTGCGAGGATGATATAGGCCAGGCTTGCTGATGCTGGTGGATACAGGAGGAGAAAAAAATCAATGTAAACACACGCAGTCTCTATCGGAGGTGCCCTGGGCTGGCATGCGGCGCTGTGTAGGATGGGATTATTTATGTGATTGGATAAGTGAGGAAGGGCTCCCCCAGGACAGCGCCGTGCATTCATTACACACAGCAGCGAGAGTGGCAGAGGCAGGGGTGTGTCTCGCAGAGGGGCGGGGCAGGTAGAGCTAAAGGAGCTAAATGTGCCCCATGATGCTAAATAAGTCAAAGTGTGTGCGTGCATATGGTGTGCGTGTGTGGGTTACATCAGGAGAGCAATGCTACAAGTTAAGAGAGACAATACTCGCCAGGAAGGTTTTGGAATTCATGTTGTCAAGTACATTTCATGGATATCTGAATCTGTTGTTATTTTCCACCAAATGAAAGATTAAATGTGAAAAAAAAACAGACACATCTTTAACTTTGATGTAATCTATTAAGACTAGAGTACCAAACCAAAAAGATAAATATCTAAGAAAATGTATGCATCTTGTTCCTACTTCTATCACTAGTTTTTACGTGCATGTATTTTTGACCTCCGTCTGTCAGGCAACTTCAGATCAGCTTTTTCAGTGAACAAGAGGACCAGCCCTGACTCAACTCTCAGTATGAAAAGACAAACATTTTTCACAAAATGTATTTATGAAATGTTAGGTCATAAAAATGGTATCAAGAAAGAATTGCAATTTATATTTTTTACCATTCCAGCACTATCAATATCTAAAAGTGAAAATAACCTTTGAGATGAATGCTTTCTACGACCTGTAGAAAAAGTCACTCATGTTGACCACCATCTAAAGCAGAGGTAATTTGCACATGACATGATTGGCCGTGTGTGGGCAGGATAAATTGCAGTAATGCTCAGTGCATGTGTAGGTGCCCACCTCTTCGACATTAGAGGCCGTCTTGGCTGAAGTCTCCATAAATATGAGACCGTGTTCTCTTGCGAATGCTTCGCCTTCTTCCTTCTTGACCTCTCTCCTTGACTCCAGGTCACTGTACACAAAACCCAACAAAGGCCAAAGAAGTGAAGAGGGCTGCTTCTTTCACACTGAAATTCACTTCAATCCGTTAATATTTGTGTACATCATGTGTAGTTGGCGCATTTCCATAAATCAATATTCAGATAGTAAACAAGCAGTGGTCATATTCAAGAGCAAATGTTGCTTATGTTGGAGATGGCCTTATTGTATTGAAACCAAAGATATATTCATGAATCTTGCGGGCACTGGAATAAATGTATTGAACATAAAAAGCTAGGTAAATGTTGAACTATTCTTTCCAAGGAAACATGAGTTACATGAGTTACGGTATATCAGAAATTATCTCAAATAATACATTGTTTAAAAAATCTCCATTCCTACAAGTTTTTTTAAAAGTTTAAAGTCATAATCCGACTTCAGAACATTGTCCACAAAGAGAGATGAGTTTTATGCCACACTGAAAAAAAGACTACTAACGGAACAAAGGCCCTTTTCCAGGTGAAGTGCGAGTGTGCAAATCCACTTACAGGAAGGACACACATTTCATTGTATTCCGAGTGCAATAAAAACATCAAAAGCAAATAGAAGTATATTTTATCCACTTTTTAAAGGTAACAGTGTGCAGGTTTCAAAATGCAGATAAGAAATGAATGTTAAAAACAATTTCTTAACATTGGACTAGAATCTTCAAGATAAAAGCCCACTTGGTGGAGGGTTACTCAAAAGCTTGTCTCCTGTATCACTCGCTTATCCCCAAGAAGATTGATATTTGAGGCACTCGAAGACAAATGAGCATTTATAAAACACTATTAAACCAATGATATATTGTGCACCTCTAAGTCTCCACATTTCCTGAGGTTTTCCTACAGAGACCATTTGATCCACAGAGACCTACCTCTTGTTACCGATAAGCATGATAACCATATTGGAGTTGGAATGTTGGCGAGCGTCCTCTAACCAGGTCGTCAAGTGGTTGAAGGTGTCCCTTCTGTGAAAACAACAAAATTATAGGAAACCTATCTTACAAAACAAGAAAAAAGTACAAACATATAAAAGCCTTATATATTACTAGATCAACAAACACAGGATGTTTAGAAATATGAACATGTATTCAGTTACCCACTGGTGTAAAATTTATAAAGAATAGTAAAAATATTGAGGACTAAAATTCAACATTAGTTTCAAGCATTCAATTTTGCACGAGATTATTTTCAGACATGGCAAACGGTGTGTGAATTCAATGGCAACAAAATGAAATTAAAATTTGACGTTGCTTTTTACAAAACAACTCCTAGCCCATTTTCCATTACCACAGTTATGTACTTTACTGTGTGATAAATAATTTCCAGCGCTGTGTCAACATTTGCAGCTAATCTATTGTATGTAACTAGGGAAAGCCCAACGCTAACGCTAAGGCTAATGAGGGTGTGGACTATGCTAAATTGCCTTTACAGGTTTACGGCTGCACAGCATTGTTTTCCCATATCACTCATGGTGGCAGAAAGAGGCCGTTACCTTGTGATGTCATAGACTAGCAGTGCCCCAGCAGCACCTCTGTAGTAAGACCGGGTGATGGACCGGAATGACTCCTGGCCAGCCTAAACACAGAAACACAATATATACACATTCTTAAAAGACATGTGGAGTTGTTGGTTTAGGACGTATAACACAGAACAAGCAGAGACTGCATATAACACAAAATACAATAGTCTTAAGCCCAGAGAAGAGGCTAGAGTTAAGGTAATGAATCCAAATCCATTTCACAAAATCCACCTCCAGGTTTTCCCCGGGTCTCTGCTGCTTCAGAAGGATGGAACAGAGGAGGGCCTGTAATTGGATACAATGGAGTTTTTTTCTCCATTTCTCCATCTCCGTCCTTTTCTTTCCATGAGTGTGAAGCTTGTTTCTCTAAAGTCACGGAGCAGCTATGAAGGTCACGTTATGCTTTATGTGGCTTATGTGTTGTTCAGGTCACCTTGTACCTAATTATCCGTTTATAGCTGCCTTCACTGTCCCTCCCTCTGTTGGATAAGTCAAGTTTTATTGTTTTCCCCCACTGTTTATCACATATCACGTATTCTCTTTTTGAAAAATACCTGCCCAAATGCTTTTATTCTGTCTAAATTAGAAGGCCTTTATATATAATTTACTGATAGCTGAACCGAACAAGTGTTCACATTAAAATGGCAAAGGTTTTGAAGCACAAATATTCTCAGAGAACTCTCTTCAACAGTGACTATCTGAAGTTGGACTACATTTCCCAATGCAGAGCTATAATTAACAGATCCCATGACGTCCCATTAATTCAATTCTTCATTTAAAACTATAATAATTCATTCAGCAAGCTCTCATTATACAATTTTCTTTACAATGGTCATTCAAATCAGCTCTAATGCCTTCACCAATGACCATTTTACAGTTACAATGTTTTCAGTGTTTGCTAGTTTTTAGAAAACAGCAGCTTCTGTGTTAGCAGTGACACTTGTCTGACATCATCGTACCACTAGACAAAGCACCACCAGCCAGTGAGATATAGCTGGACAATATGCCCAAAGACAGGTAGTGGCAGACACGCAGTAATGCCATTAGTGAATAAATGATAGATAAGGGTGAACTAGAGGCAAGGCCGTGTCTGTCTGCCATCTGGCCTACATATCTCCCCCACATCGGGTGAGCAATATTGACATTGAGCTTTAAAATACTTTCTCTGCTTTAATAATTTAATTGATTAATCACAACTAATTGATTATTTAAAAATAGTTGTTTTTGAAGCTTACAGTAGACTTAAACATGCTGAGAAAAGGTTTTATGACTCAAGAATCAGATCATTCTAAAATGAATGAATGGGTTTTTATTATCTCTATAAAGATGTTCTCCAGGGATATCACTTGAGCTTTGTTGTGGCCCATATTCACTGACCTTTTTGGATCTAAACAACTTCATTGATTAATCAAAAGAATGAAATAGTCGACAAATTGATTATCAAAATAATATACTTACAGCCGTACTCAGTTTATAACAAATGGGAATTGCCTTTAATGTTCCTGAACTCGATTAAAGCGTCAAATACATCATAAATTCTATCTTTTGATCTCCTATACACTGCCCAACACTAATTATAAATAGCTGCATTCGAGGATGTTCAATCTACACAACCAAACTCCAATCCAACCGTTTTCACTGTCCATTGAAAGCTCCAGCGCCCCGCAGAGCCTCCTTTCACAGTGTAATGATCGAGAGGACCACTTGACATGTGGAAAACCAAAGGAAGGTCACCCTCTACTGCTCAGCTCCAAAGCGTCCATTATAGAAAGCAGAGCCCCCTCCACGCAGCAGCGGAACAAGCACAGGAGGCTGTTATATCGAGCGAGTAGCCAATGATAGAGCAATGACTCCACCTGCTGGACATTCTAGTAAATACAGTCTAATAGGAAAAGTTATCAAGCACAAAAAAGAGCCATTTATTGCTCTATTGTATTTTTACAATAAGTAAACTCATTTACAGCACTTATCAATTATATTTCAAGGTGAATAGAAAGGGCATGTATTAGCTTTCTCTTATTAGTTTTCTCAGTTTCCCTCTCTTCACCAATGATATGTTTTAGTCAAAAATTGAAGCCAGTCTGGTTTTCAAATTCAAAATATGTATGCATTTTAGAAGCCGGTTTTAATAATTGAGTATGTATTTTCCACACTTTCCTCAAATCTCTACACAGTTGAGGACAGTAAAACAAAGGGGTAAACTATTAAACTCTACAAATTACACAATTATCAAATGCTGAAAATATACAATCCAAACAAGGAGATGATTGATTACCGTGTCCCAGATTTGAAGTTTAATCTGTTTGCCATCTATAGTGATCATCCTTGCTCCGAACTCCACCCCTGCAGCAGACATAAGAGAGAAGATGAAACGCTTCATAACGTTATCTTGAGTAAATTAATGATAGCGTCATAAAAGAACTGACTTGACTGGAAAATATAGCTAAAAAAGGTGATTTCTATAATCTCATGAATACTGGAATCAAAATGTTGCATATTTAAATCATCACAAACCATAATAGTTTATCATTGATTACAAAGCTGCAGAAGGACAGTACTGTACTAGTAATGCAATGAGCTGCAAGGTGGGATTTTCTTTTTCACAGAGCCTACATTCAAAACGCCACTCAAACTTTCAAAGGACAACTTTCCATTTGGTTTCGTACATTATAGTTACAGGCATAGGGCCATAGTTAAAAGGGCCATACACGCAGCAACATGGGGTATGACTGATTTGTGCTAATGTCGTCTATGTCGACTGCAGCCAGGAACATTTTGACCAGTTCATAGTAATTACAGTCTTAGAGATTAGAAATGAGCTAACTGTAATTAAACAATGGTGATCGGCCTGTGTGGACTTACCGATGGTAAGGTCGTGGACAGGCTGAAACCTCTTGTCTGTGAACTGTAATAATAGACATGATTTACCGACACCTGAAACACAAAAGAAAAAAGACAGGTCACAAATATTGTAACTTTTTTCCATACACATTGGTAATTCATATACAATTTCACCCACGACGTTAGGGAGAGCACAATGGACTTGTGGAATGCTGTTAATTAGAGAAATTGTATGCATTTTTAGTTTTATTCTTTTGTTGTCCTGGGTCTGTGCTTGTGCATACAGTGAGTACAGTGCGTGTGTGATTTTGTTTGTTCTTAAAAAAATAGATTTAAATAAAAAATAAATAAAAAATAAATAAACACTTTGATTTTTGGAAGTTTAGTGGCCATAGTCACTGTAAAGTTGAAGAGTATACATTTCCCCCTGCATTCACACTCTGGCCAGAGGTTGTCATGAAGACCTGCTTTCATTCTTTTCTAGGGCTGGTTTAGTCACACTGGCAGGAGGCCCCGGGGAAGAACCAGGACAATATGGTCTCTCAGCTCAGCTGGCCTCGGGATTCCCCCGGATGACCTGGAGGAAGTGTGCATAGATAGATTTCCCCTGAGTGCTTTCGGGGCTCATCATCAAAATGCAAAAAGAAAAAGATTGAAGGTAAAAGGTAAAGGTGCTTTTTATTTATCCCCCGTAGAAATTCATCCTCTGCGTTTGACCCATCCTGATGCCACTAAGGCATCTATCAGGAGCAGTGGTCGCCGTAGAACCAAACTAATTCAACTTCAATTTAAGTCTCGAAGCTGCAATGAATTTACACTCATAAAAAAATAACTTTGACATTTAAAAAAGAAAAACACACATAGATTAGTAAACTTATAAGTTCCAATAATAAAAAATATTGTTTTTATGATGATTAAATGTAAGTAAAGATATTTGGCACAATTTGGCACACTTGTGCCAAATTGTGCCAAATGTGCACTACTTGATGAAAAGGAGAAACTGCATAAAAACTATAAAACTTAGAAGTCTGAAACTTTAGACAGTTGTCAACAACACAATGAACAGAGGGTTTGAATATTTTTTCCCTAACTTCAAAGGATGCAGAGGAAAATAGGAATGACAAACATTATTTTAGTGTTTTTTTACATAAACTAGAAGGCTCTAGCTTTAAAATGATGCATCACACAAGCATGTGAGATGTAAGATGTGTTTTTAAATAAGCAAAGACATTTGGGTATGCCAAACTTTTGTGCACAAGCCAAAATGAGGCGGGTTTTAAGAGGCTAATATTTCCATAATTTTAAGTATTTATTCTGTAATTCTTTGAAACATTTTTTTATGTTTTAGAATGATAACTTTAAACTATTGCATGATGTGGCACACTGTCTGTGGAATAGTTTGAATGTTCCCCCCATGTTTGTTTTTTCCATGCGCTCCAGTTTCCTCGACTACTAAAAACATGTGCCAATGGTGGACCTGAATTCGGGCATTCAGGTGCAATATTTTCTCTGATCAGCAAACTGATCACAGCATCTCAAATTATAATTTATAATATGCATGGGTTTTATATTTGGCTTTTCTGGAACTCGTACATCACATGGCTTTATTCACACTCTCCACTGTTGGTAAACTACTAATGAAGCCACAGCTGCCCTTGGTCATACTGACTGAAGGGAGGCTACTCTGACCACTACCAGTCATTCACTCATACTGGACTTCCTCATGTCCGTGATGGTTGACACTGCCACACAGACAATACACCTAGGGATTAGTTTTGATCAGATGTTTTTCTGATGTTAAACAGGGTTGCCATGAAAATAGATGGATGTTTTTTCTTTTTCCAGATTTCCTAGGGCGACAGTAGCTCAGTTGGTAGAGCATTGGCCTTTGGGCCTGAAGGTCGTGGGTTCGAGCCCACCGTAAGACCTACTTCACGACTCCCACTGATGGCTGCTGTTGTTGTGTCCTTGGGCAAGACACTTAACTCCACTTTGCCCAAAGCCCCCACTGAAAGATCTCAGCTCCTGTGGACTCACCACCTGCAGGAGGATCAGTGAGGGGCTGGTGCTCTGTGTACTGGGTGCAGCTCTGACTGCCACCCCCCCCCCCCCTGACCCAGAAATGGATTAAGGGGAAGAAAATGGATGGATGGATGGATGGATGGATGGATGGATGGATGACAACATTGGACAAACCAGATGCAGGTGCTAATTTTCAACAGTCCACAGGGGGCATTTACATTACGTTATGTCAAAGAATTACAATACAATTTACAAGTGAGAATAAATTTTGACAACTGTTTGAACTCTCTGCTGAAGATGGTAATGTTAGTCCAAGTGACCCCATTACATCAAACGCTGTGCCCTTTTCTGCATATTTAAAGGTCTATTGCCCCTAAAATATGGCAAGTGGCAAGGGCGGCATGGTGGCTGAGTGGATAGCACTCTCGCTTCTCAGCAAGAAGGTCCTGGGTTCGAATCCCTGTCGGAACAGGGTCTCTGAGTGGAGTTTGCATGTTCTCCCCGTGCCTGCATAGGTTTCCTCTGGGTACTCCGCTTTCCCCTACCACTAAAAAAACATGCTCACTAGGTTAAATCCTCCAGCTCAGTAAGTCCTGACCAAGCCAATCATCAACATCTGGCGACCACTGCTCCTGACGTAAGCCTTCGCGGCATCAGGATTGGTCAAATGCAGAGGATTGAATTGCCCTACGGGGATTCATAAAGTGCGCCTTTACCTTTAAGTTATCAGGTGAAATTATTTTCTATGTCTGTACAATCACATGTATGTGTTTGCAGCCATTAATTTTCAATTTTGAAAAAAGAACTGACAAACCTCCCTCGTAAAGTGAAAAGTGGTTTTAAATGTATTCAGTCGAGGCTGAATATACATTTGTTAACACTCATTTTGAGAATACATTTACTTTTTTGACTAGACTCAGAAATGACTGGGACAAATGGCATAAGCTGGCTACCTCATTACCTTCTCTCCTTCTGGGAATATATTTAACTTTTATATACGGGCTTGTGTTTGGCATTGATTCATAGCTGAAATTAGATATGGGACATGTCCTCTATGTGGTAATACAGTAAGTAAGTAAGTAAGTAAGCTTTATTTATATACCGCCTTTCACAGACCAGAGTCACAAAGCGGTTTACAATTGTCATTTTTCGGGCATACAATCACTTTCCGCTTCCTTGTCCTGTGGTTTATGTTAAATTCTCTGTTGCTTAATTTGTGGGACTTTGAACCTACTAAAGACTAACATGTTTTCTGAATAATGTGAAGATGACGTGACCTTTTCCCATAAATCCATCCTTCAATTGCAACATAATGTCATTATATCCGCTGCCTTTTGCTGGTTTAGATTGTTGAAGGCTCCAGTGAAGAGTTTTGCCTTGATAATGATTGCTGTGGTCCTGTGAAGCCACACTGTTGAGACTCACTTTCTCTCTCTTTCCACTCGTCAAGACATCTGCCTCAAACACAAGACCTGGCACAGGCCAGGACACACAAATACACTATATTAATGGAAAGCATGTTTTAAATTGGCTTTATGTAATTGAGGTGTGGTTTCAATCAAGGATCAGGAAGCGAGTGCGTCTGGGGAAGTATGTCTCGGATTATAAATACAGGAGCCCCACAGGGCTGTGTTCTTTCTCCCCTGCTCTTCTCCTTGTACACCAACCACTGCACCTCCAGCCACGACTCCGTGAAGCTGATCAAGTTCGCGGACGACACCACCCTCATTGGACTCATCAACAACGATGAGTCCGCCTACAGGAGGGAGGTGGACCGGCTGATGTCCTTGTGAACGCCCAGAAGACACTGGAGATGATTGTGGACTTCAGGAAGAGCACAGCCCCCCCGCCCCCACCCTCCGTGATGGACTCCCCCATCACCTCTGTGGAGACCTCAAGTGGGAGCCGACCGTCAGCTCCCTCATCAAGAAGGCCCAGCAGAGGATGTACTTCCTGTGGCAGCTCAGGAAAGCCAAGCTGCCTGCACAGATGTTGGTGCAGTTCTACACGGCCATCGAGTTCATCCTCACCTTCGCTGGAGCCACAGTCAGGGACAAGCAGAGACTACAGCGCGTTGTGCGCTCTGCAGAGGAAGGGATCGGCCGCAGCCTTCCATCGCTGCAGGACCTGTACGTCGCCCGAGCTCGAGGCCGGGCTGGTCGTATCATAGCCGGCCCCTCTCACCCCGCACATGGACTATTCCAACCACTCCCCTCAGGCAGGAGACTGCGGTCCATCAGGACTAGAACCTCCCGCCACAAGAACAGTTTCTTCCCCTCTGCTGTTGGACTCTTGAACACTTCTTAACCTGTCCCCCCGCCCTTTTATAAAGTCACTTTACTGCCCATCATACGTCACTTTACTTCACTGTACTGCTGTCACCTTACATTGTGTGCACCATGTGCACTTGTAAGTAGTAACTGTAACTCTATTTTTAAATTTAAATGTATTCCTTAGAAGTGTTTTTTATTCTTTTTATTATCTCTTTCTGACTGTTGCACTAAGCCAAAGCAATTTACAATTCTGTGACTTCCTGTTACTTACGTTGCAATAAAAATTATTCTGATTCTGATCAAATATTTCTTTGATAAACCTAGGCCTTTTAAAATATACTTTACAAAATGCTGTACAGACAAGTGAAAAAACATTAGGTGAATCCTAAAGATGCTTATGTAAGGACGAGGGGGAAGGCTTTTTGTGTAGGCCCTGAGGACCCTGAGCTCCAGACATAGGTGTGACTACGTCCGTATACAGTCTATCTCCGCCGTTTAAAGTAATGGGCCAAAAATTGTGCTCTACTGGAGCTATCCAAAATGGCCGCGAGTGGTCCCGCCCACAAGAAAATTGTGAAAAAACGCATCTGCGCATGCGTCAGCCGGCAAGAGCCGCATTCATTGAAATGAGTGCCTTCAAAAATTCATAGCGACTAAACCAGAGTGTTCCAAAAAAATTCACTCCCCTCAGTATTGACACACATGTGGAACAGAGCTTTGGGCCAAGAGCCAACTTTTGGACCAACCCTGTAAAGACTTTTTCGAGAGTTCAGCTAATGCTATATGTTAGCATTGGCT